TGTATGTTTCAGATGATATTATCACTGGCATAGTAATAATTAAAACGTGGAAATGACACCTATCGTTGCTCCAGAACCGAATCAGTATTGAAAATTATTATGAAGTAAAAATTTACTCTGTTGTAAGTTCTATTATGATTCTTTTTTCCTTTTGGATAACAGTTGATTAAAATTCGATATTTTAGAAATTTTTGTTAAGTCGTTAAAAAAAAAGAAAAAATATAAACATTCCTAAATAAAAAAGATTAAATTTTTTAGATTCTAACATTGTATCGATAATCTTTTTAAATACTTTATTATTTATATAATCATGTTGTTAATTTCAAGATTTTAAATTTATATTTATAGAGGTGTTATACTCGTTTAAATAATATTTAATCAATCTTTAATCAATTGTCTTGAAAAAAAAAGGAAATAGATGATGTATATACAATCCTTTGTTTTGCCTCGTTTGGATAAAATAATTTGTAAACGCGTGATTATGTATAAGTAGTATAAAAAAATTGATATTTATAAAGATAAAATTCATTGTCACAATAGAGTGCAATTATAGGTGACATTTATACGGTTTATTGATGGTCATTTAACATACGAACTATTGTGTAAAACGTATCCATAGTTATAAAAGAGGAAGGAAATAAATTTAATCTAAACTTACGGAAACTTGAAAGATCTCTTGTACCGATGTATCTTGCATTACTTAAAACTAAAAAAAAAAAAAAAGATAAAAGACTGCATAAATTAAATTTACCTTCCTCTTATATATATGTATGCATATAGATGCATATAGAATCATTATAAATAACATATAGAATGATAAGATGGATATATTATCGAAGATCGAATACATAATATCGGATGTTGAATGAGAAATTATTAAACAGAGAATTTGTGTTTACATTGGATAAAAAAAAGCAATACCTACATAATATATTAACGATATATCTTCAAATAACAAAAAAATAAAATATTTGAAGATTATATTTATCTCGTATTGCGAAGAAAAGCATACGATATTCGTTAGTATTATTAAGCCTCAGTTAAAGAAGAAAAAAAAAAGAAAATATGGAAAATAAACAAAAATGATTTTATCCAAACAAGGACTAATGATCATGATTATTTTATGAAATATATTTGAATATATAAAGATTCATTTGCCATTTCATTGTTCGGCAAAGTGTAATCTTTATAGATCATGATCATAGAAAAATGTATTTAGAATATCTCTACCTATCCTTAAAATTTTCATACAATTTAGATGAATAATATCTAATTAAGAGAGGAGAAAAGAAAAGGAGAAAAAAAAATCTTGTCATCCAATTATATATATTTAAAACTTTATACGATGAAATATATGTGAATGTGTAATTAAGATTATAAAAGTAAAATTATACAATAAACCTTGATCTGATATAATAATGCAATTATGACGTGCTCATTCATTTTGATCGAGAAGTTATAGGACATATTATTATATTACCGATGGATTTTATGTCGAATGAACATGTCAGAATTTAATCAAAGTTTATTGTATTAGAAACGATACAATCAATTGGTGCACTTGTGATTTAACATTGTATGCGACCTTCGATAGAATTATGTTCATCGCATTGATACATCGATACATAAAAAAGGAAAATGAAAAAAAAGATTATGAAGTTTTTAAATTTTATCATCAGAAGAAATGTCGTATCACGACTTTTTTGTTTTTTTGTTTTGCATTATACAATAAAATAGAAACGTGATCAAATGCTTTACGTGTAATACTCGTCGGCATGTGAAAAATGTTTCGTAACATATACTTACATATGTATCGTTCAAGCTTCATGTATCTAAAAAAAGAAAGGCGTAGGAATTTGTGTGTAATTGGAATGATGCGATTTCAGGATTATTTTCTTGGCAAATAGTTTTAAAAAACAAATATAAGAAATACTTAATGTTTCATAAAAAAAAAAAGAAAAAAAAGGAAAAGAATAAACACGTATAAGATGGTATTGGAATTTCCCATCGTGTGAATGTTGGAATGTTAATGTTGTAATATGGAATCAAATTCATAAAATTCATAATACTCTTAAGTAAAAGAAAAGCACTTTTACACCGATTAAAAATTCTTCCGCATTCGTGGTATGATAAAAAAAAAAAAAAAAAAAAAAA